AACCTGAATATAGCAGACATACTTTAAAGAACTAGTATCCCACAGGACAGTGCATTATCAACCTCTGCATTGTGTATTTTCAGGTAAAAGCAAGTAAAAAGCCGGCCTGAAACACTTGTTAAATTGTTCTCAGTGCAGGTCTCGGTGACCGCTTGGCGGCAGCTCCCGTCATGGGCAGAGTGAAATGCAGGGACTCCGCTCTTGATATCCAAACTCTTGGTGTCCAAACTCGGCCCTGAGAGCTGCTCTGCCTGCTGAACGTTGTTTCCCACCCCCACCCTAGCGCAGTCCCGTTGGTAGCGCAGGTTTTTGCCCCGGGTGGGGCAGGGTTTTGTCTGTGACACGACACGCTCCGGGAGCTCTGCAGCGGCGCCGGGCCCGCGTCAGCTGCCGGGGAACAGAGGTGGGTTGGTTGGTTGGTTGGTTGTTCAGACCGGAGGAACAGCGTGTTTGTTGTTTGTCCCCCGCACGCCCGGCGTGGACGGCGCCTCAATAGCTTTTATGCCGATGTGAATAACAAGCAGGGGTGGTGGTGGTGGGGTTTAATCACAGGGAGCCGAGCGCTGCGCGCAATCACGCGGCCCGAGTGACACTCAGAGGAGGATCTCTTTCTTCTCCTCCTCCTCCTCCAGGCTCCAAGCTTGAGTCTGAATAAAACGTAACACACTTGAGAGCTCTTTAGGGCATTGTAAAGGAGGCTGCTTCTCCCCCGAGTTTGTTGTCTAGCAGGGCTGAAGCTGCCGATGGGCGACGCGCCCTGTGTTTTACGGAGCTCAGAAGTTCGGGAGATGCTTTTGTGGGGAACGCTGGTGCACCTCGGAAGCAGCAGCTGGCGTTCCCGAGGGACCAGAGCCACAGATCTCCACTGTGGGGAGTTTCTCCCATTGTCATTAGGGCTGTAAGGCAGGCTGTGGTACGGGTTTCATACTTGGTTGGAGTGTTGCTAATCCTGGACTCGGTGCCAGCCGCTCGCTGGGGCTGACGTAGCTGCTTCTGCAGCCGTTTGGTGAGCCGTGCCAAGGAACGGCTGGGCTGAAAAACCCCAGCTGAAAAATTAACCAGAACGCGCTGATTTGGCTCAGTTTGTGTGCCCAAACCGAACTGCCCGTGCTGGCACTGTTGGCAGCGCAGCATCAGCGTGGGAATGGCAACAGAGATGGCACGTTCGTGTTCTGTGGCGTGGGGTGTTGCTGCTGACGGTGGTGAGGGTGCCATGTGAAGGCAGTTCCCTCTGACCAAGTTGGTGCGTTGAGCCCAGCCTGTTTGTTGGGGCAGGCTCACTCCCACTGAGTCTGTTTTGTCTTGTAAAGCTTCCAGGTAACTGTCTGATGGTTTTCTGTCAGGGGAGCTTGGCAGGAATCGATGGACTCTTCTAAGGCTTCTCCAGCACTCTGTCAGACTCATCCCAAGAATCAGGGGGCCTGGGACGCAGTATTTTTGGCCTAAGGGCGATGATTTGCAGCTGGGATAACATACTCTGTGCTTTGTGTTTTTGTAAAGGCTGACTGGCAAGGTTGATCCAGGCCTTTGCTCTTCTGGGGATCCCTCACCTTCCCCACAACATCATCTTCAGTGCTCGTGTCAGTTCTCCTGAAAACAACACGTAACTTGGGGGTAGGAATCAGTAAATCAATATGTATTTTTTCTTCAGTGGGTACTGTCAAACCTAAAAACAAAGCTTGGAAGTCAGATGATTGGTTCTTCCTTTATTTGCACACAACTTGGCTTAGGTTTTGCTAAGTTAAACCTGCTGTTTTGCCAACTGATGCAAGGTTTCTGGAGAGTGGATACATTTCTCCAGGGACTGGGGTTGAAAATTGCTTCTGTAGAGCGTAGCCTTACCTATTTTTAAGGAAAAAGCTTCAGTGAAATAAAAAAGATGCGTGTGGTGCAGCAAATCAAACCTCTGGCTGCGTAAACAGATCAATAAACTGATTTGTGTCTGCTGACCAGAAGAAAAATCTAATTGCAGGTGCTCCATATTCAACGTTTGTGGTAAACTAGAGTAATTGGAATAATGAGAAATCCAATGTGCTTTTGTTTGGAGTTTATTCTTCCTTAGGATTCATTAAGCTGGATGGGCCTCTCAGGGCTTAGGCTGGTTGTGTATCACCATTCCGAGCTCTTCAGACTTCACGGGTTCCTTCAGATTCTAAATCCTCATATTTGCTGTCTTTTAATAAGACTTGAAAAGATTGAAGCAAAATTGTTCCCGCTGTTTAGAGACTCGTTTCACTCACGGGAGTGTCAGCTGACTGAAGTTTAAATGCATCCGAATGGCACAGTAGCTCTGGGGTTGCCTCAAATTTCGGGTCTGTGCAGTTACTAACACCTGCATGGGGAAATAATGCTTTCCTGCGCGTCCTGAAGATGTATTTCCAAGTACTGTTGTGTCAGTCCTCAAGTATTTCTCATGTGAGTGCATCTCTTGCATCTCTTAGATAAAAAAAAGAGAGGATGGAGGTCCTGGCATTTCTGTGAGGGATGGTGATCAGAAAGGTAAAACATTTTAGGGAAAGGGAGGGGGGGGGGAAGAAATACGCCAGGAAAAACAATGAGGTTGGAGTTGTGTGAGTGTGTTTTCTCCATCTGAGTGGGACAAAAGCACTATCAGGGTACCTTAAGTAGTTTCAATTGCTGGTAACAGAAATGAAGATGGTAGTAAAGAGTTCTTAAACAGTTACTGCACAGAGAGGAGAACTGTCACCTGTGTCTGCTGCCACTTTGAGGTAAAGTCAGTAAATTGGATCGAGTATCATTAGCTTGGATGTCTCATTAGGATTGTTTGGAGAGTGGAAAATGAGTCCTCTGTGAAGGAAACAGAACAGGATGAGTTCTGGCTGCTGGGAGGAGGAAAAGGAAAGAGAGGATTGGAGGTTGATGGGCTGTAGCCAGGTAATGATGGCTTTGTGATTTTAACTGAATGAATAGCTGAAAATGATTCATTAAAAAAAAAAAAAGCTACAGAAATATATAGAAGTTTTTGAAGGCAAGCTTGGAAAAGAGGAGGCAAAACCTCTTGCTGCTGGGTTTCATTTGGATCTGTCCATCAAGAGGAGGGAGCCCAAAGGTCTGTAACTGGAGATCCCGAGTGGGAAGGGAAGGTGATGTGTTGCCAGTTGACATATGGTACCACCTGGGATTAGCTGAGATTATGCCAATGAAGACTAAACCCTGCGAGTTGATTCCCTTCGCTGTTATTTAACAAAATGAAGTACCTTACCCAGAATTTTTTTTTTTTTGTTAACTGATTTAGTTCTTGAAATGTGGAGGGGAGGGGGATTTTGGATGGGGTTTCAAAGCGCAGAAGTGCTGTCTGATCTACAGGAGAAGGCTGTGCTTCCTTCCTGAACCCTCTGGAGTATTTCCATTTCTATCCTGAACACTTTCAGGAACATTTTTAGTTATTCATGTAGCGGTATTTTCTTTATATCAAGTAGTTCCTATCATTTTCACTTCTCTCCTCTTGCACAGTTGCTGGCAGTGATCATATATCCCACTTCAGCTGAGTAAGGCAGATTGTTTTAGTCATTGTAAAATAAGACTGTGTGTACCCTGATCCCCCCTGGCAGCTCAGTTAGAGCCCGAGTTCACCTTTCCTGGCCATGGGCTGGGAGCAGTGCTGTAACTCTCAGACCATCCTCCCTTTCATTATAAAATCCTCCCAGGGATCTGCTCTCTTGCTGGTGCCTTTGAGTCTTTTGAAAGCAAAAAAAAAATGCTTTCAGTAGCAACGAATTGCGAACCTCAAAAAAATCAGGACATACCTTTTTTTAGACCTTTTGCACAAGGAAAAGGCTTTACATCTGGCTGTACAGGCAGTGGAACCTGAATTTTAAAATAGCTGGGTGCTTTTCTTCCTCACCCAAGGAAGAGAAGAATGAGAGACATGGTGTTTCCACTCAGTTCCCTGTATGTGTTTGTGCGTGGACACCATTACTGTATCAAAATCCTCATTGCAGGAATCTGCTCAGGCTTTAAAAATTCAGGATTGGTGGTTTCAGGAGGGGTGAGACCCACACAATGCCCTGTGATTGCAGAAAGCTGCCCTTGCCCAGCTCAGTTCTCCACGTGGGGGTTTCTGGTGGCCACGCTGCCTCCTCCTCTCCGCCCTTACAGTCCATTTTGCCACGTTTTTCTTCCTAGCTTCGTCCACAGCCCAGCCTTAACCTCATGCAGAAGGAAATGTTCTCACTTCCCACCTTAGTGTGAATATGGTATTTTGTCAGAAATGAAACAATCCCAGCGTGTGTGGCTGTAGGTGTTTGACTCATAACTTGTTATGGCCATTCTTGGGTGTGCTGGGAGGATATTTATTATGTCCAATTAATTATTTGGGGCTTGTTTCTTTAAAACCAGCATTTTGTAAAAAAAAAATTTCCTTCCTCTTTGGTAAAAATTCCTGAAAATCGCTTTTATCAAACACTTGTATACATTTAGGACATTTTATGGGGTTGTTTCCGGCTGGGCTGAAACTCGGGGTTTGACCAGTTCTAGGGTTGACCAGTGGCAACATCTAAATTCCCACGTGGGAGTGAGGCCAAGTCCCACAGCAGAAAATTTTCCTTAAGGTTTGATTCCAGGGATTGGTGCCGAGGTCAGGGCTTGCTCCCTGGATGTGTGCGTCTTTAAGATGGAGAGTCAGAAGAGCCCCAGGGGTTTGTTGTCAGGATCCATCCTCTGAGTGATAGGGCTGATGTTCCTGCAGTAATGGCTTTGTCAGATACAAAGCCCTTGGTTGGACTGGGGAGGGTCTTCAATGGGCTGCAGTTCCTGTGCATTTCCCACTAATTCACCCTCTCCCCCTCACTTGGAGTGATTGTGTCTCGTTCTCCTTGGGCAATACTGCCAGTTGCAGATCTGAAGGTGTGAGGATAAAAGAGAAGAGAAGCAGCAGAACGGCCCCAAAGTGCCTTTTGGGCACGGGAGGAATTGATTAATCAGCAAAGCCGTGCCGGGGGGGGTGTTTCATTCTAATCATCAGCTCTTTTGTGTTCCAGCCCTGGCCCAGCGTGTCCAACCTGGCCAAGGATTTCATCGACCGCCTGCTCACGGTGGACCCCAGCGACAGGATGACGGCCCTGCAGGCCCTGAAGCACCCGTGGGTGGTCAGCATGGCGGCCTCCTCCTCCATGAAGAACCTCCACCGTTCCATCTCCCAAAACCTGCTCAAGAGGGCGTCTTCCCGCTGCCAGAGCACCAAGTCGGCGCAGTCCACCCGCTCCAGCCGCTCCACCAAGTCCAACAAGTCGCGGCGGGTGCGGGAGCGGGAGCTGCGGGAGCTCAACCTGCGCTACCAGCAGCAGTACACGGGCTGAGCCTCTCCAGGCGTCTGCACACACGTGAGGAACCTGCAGGTTCCTCCCTCCCTCCCTCCAGGTGTTCCCCCCGCCCCATCCACGAGGAAGGTGTCCCCCCCCATGGTGTGGAGGACAGGGAGCCCCCGCGAGCTGTGCCGGAAACGGGGAGGGGGGGGGAAGCCCTCGTGGGCTCAGAGCGCGGCTCAGAGCACCGAGCAATACAAAAATTGAGGGGCCATCTGGGGAGAAGAGCTCTCTCTCTCTCTCTCTCTGTACCCCGGGAGCTTTCGGGTTGTTCGCAGTTATTTATTAATTCCAGAACGTTAAGTTTCTCTCGCTTGGCGTGCGGGGAGAAAAAAACCCCAAAAACCAAAAAAAAAAACCCCAACCAAAATCACTTGTCCTGTACGTGCACGTCCCTGTGTGTGCACGTACACGTGTGGGTGTGAATGTGCATTGAAAAATTATATATACACACACAGGTTTGGAGCTGGTTTAGTCAGACTCCGTGGTGCCTTTGCAGCAAAGCTGGCATGAGTCAGACGCAGTCAGAAGTGGGATAGCTCTGACTCACCGGCTGCCCACCAGCTCCTCGCCAAAGAGATGCCAGACAGCAGTTTTCCCACCATGGAGGTTTCCCCCAAGGGCTGCCATCCACCTGATGACGTCAAGGAGTTTACTTGTCGAGGGTTTCGCTCGCCCTGATGACGTCAAGGGTTTGCCCCTTGAATCATCCCTCCCCTGTTTGCAGCAAGACCCGGTGCCTGCCAGGCAGGGTTGGTTGTTCTTGCTGGGCCGTGCCTCTTGTCGTGTCTGTGACCTGTTACACACCTTGCACACTTCAGAGAAAGAGTTGAGAAAGTCGAGTTGTCTGTGCTAAGGTGAGGTGGGGGGGGAAGGGAAGGAATTTCTAGGGACGTGCTTCCCACCCCAAAGCTGGGATGGGCTATAACCACTGTGTTACCGACCGTGTCACTGCACCAGAGCTCCAGTGGTTCCAGGATGCTCCCTGTCTGCACTCCTTGCTCTGTGTGCCTGTGCTGCCCCAGCACTGCCATTCCTGCTTTGGAACAGTGGGGTGGTGGTGGGAGCTGTTGGGATGGCCACAAACCGCTCCATGGCATCAGGGTAAGGGCTTGAGTAGTGGAAGCCCAGTCTGGGAGTGTCAGCAGTGACACTGCACAAATGCCTTAGAGCTGTTAGGGGTGACTTAAATTCAGCAGGAAAAAGCTGCCCTTCAGGTGTCCTCGTGCTGTGGGGGTGATATGGGGCTCTCCTGTGAAGGACTCTCAGGAGAGGTGGGGGCTGCAGAGCTGAGCTTTGTGCAAGACTGCTGAGTTATCTTCCCAACTAGTCAGAGCAGCAAAGTGAGGCTGATGGCACAGTCCCAGGGTGGATTTGGCTTCTCATGGAAGCAGAGGCAAGATCTGCAGGGAAGGAGAATGCTGGGTTTTGACACTTTTCATATGAAGCCGGTTTGCTTCGTGCTGTGCACTTGGGAAGGGCCTGCTTGGCTCTCGGTGGGAGGTGCAGGACGTGCAAGCTGAAGGGAGTGGTGAGTGTGGCCTTTTCCCAGGATTGATGCCCGTGCCACTGTGTTTCAGTGTCAGCAAGGGCTGAAGTGGACTGTCCCATCCCCAGGGAGCCCTCACTGTACTGGCCTCTTGGTCAGCAAACAGCAAAGCAGCTTCAGTGGGAGAAGATTTGAGTTTTCTGTTGTGCTAAGGGGGAAAAAAAGGAAAGGGGAATTTCTTAGGGATGTGCTTCCCACCCCAGAGCTGGGATGGGGTGCAGCCACAGCAAGCTCAGCCTGGTGTGCCCAAGCATGCAGTGGGGAATGCAGCAGAGGAAACCTGAGGACAGCCACTGTGTGTAGCAGGGGTGAATTCTAAATCCCTTGCATGGTTTTGCACGTTGTTTTGGAAGCTTTACATCTTTTGCAGGCTCCCCTTTCCCTGAGCGACCATCCCACGGTGTCACATGCAGTCTTCTTTCCATCAGCATAACCTGGTTTTTTTTCAACTCTGTCTGTGGACTGCAAACAAAAATGTCTTCAGTGTCTGTTACCTCTTCACGTGGTTTTGTTACCACGAGCTATAACCTAGATGTGATTCCTGACAGAGCAGCCAGCTCGCCACGTTTTGCTTCATAAAGGACTCGGTGTCCCTCATGCTACTGCAGAACAGCTCTCTGAAAGCAGGAGCCCCTCTGAGACAGCATCAGCTGGACCATGGGTGCCCTGCCCGTGAGGTGATGGCAGGATCCTCCCTCGGAGCACTTCTGGTTCTGAGCCGTTCCTCGAAGGGTCTTCGGTGTGTTTGGAGCATCACCCCCAGGCACTGTGAGCTTTTTTACCTCCCCGGTGCCCTCATGGCCCTCCCCAGATTATTTTGCATGTTTAGCCCTAAAACAGGTATTTTCCCAGTGGAAGGGGGTCACACTGATGAACTGAGCCAATCTTTCTAGAACCTGAGACCTTTCCTGATGACCACTAGACCATCAAAATGCACAGGCGTTGTGCTTTTGTGTTCTCTCGTGGGATGAGGGAGAAATAAAGGTGGGGAGGAGGTCAGGACACTCAGCTGTGGGCTGACCAGGCTTGTTTCTCCACCTTCACAAAGCAGAAGACAGTCTTCTCACCTGAGACACTCTTTGCTTCGTTGCTCTTTTCCGCAACTTGTTTTTCGCCAGGAGAAGTTCCGAGCGATGCCATCCACGGTGACTTTGGGGTGGAATGTGCTGTGGGAAGCAGGATGTTGCTGCGTAGGTTCCTGGCAGCGTCAGGTTTTGGTGGTGATGCTCTGTGACTGGGGGTGAATTGGCACAAGGGAGGATCCATCACGTGCATGAGCAATGCTGGATCTCTGCCTCTCCGTGGCACGGGGGGGTTTGTGGTCTTTGGGCATTCCACTTCTTGGGAATTACAGCAGGAGGACCAAGGCCATCCCAGAAGGGGCTTTGGCTTTTCTAGAAAAAGGAACTCTTAATTCTCTTCACAAATTCAGTGTTTTCTTGTCTGCAAGGAAAAATCCATGTAAACTTGGGGAAAATTTTCCGGGCTTTCCTTCCATCGTTCGATTAGAACGCTCTTGGCTCATTCCCCCTTCTTTGTCTAAATTCAGTATTTACAGGAACTCTTGTGGGCAGAGGAGAGATGAGCAGAGCTCCCTCCAAGTGTCCCTGGAGTCCTCAGTGATCTTTCCTTCGGTCTGTCTGGAAAACTGTGAAGATCCAAGTGCCATGTCGGAAGGTCCAGCTTAAAAACAATTCCTTGGGTGCTTTTATCCCTGCAGTTGGGGCGTGTTTTCATCTGGGTCAGGTGCAGGGAGGGACAGGCAAAGTGCTGTAATTCTGAGCCATAGTCCAGGTGCCTTCACTCTGTCCTCTAAGAAGCTCTTCACTGTGAATTGCCTTGATCATCTGTCTTCATTCCACAGGAGCATCTCCGTGCTCGGTTGGTCTTAAGTCTCAGGAGTTTACACTTTTCAGGAGTGCCTTGTTTGGGGATTTTAGAAGCTAAAATCTCTCTGAAATGTTTTGGGTTTTTTTTTCTCTTCAATTTAACTTCTTTAACGTCCTTCTTTGGCTCTTAATGGTGGCTCTTAATTTGGCTCACAGGGGTTTTTTTTGGAAGCCTTCCTTTGGTCCTGTGTGAGTTGCTGGAGAACACAGGTAACAGCCGCCTGTTCCAGACCATCGCTGGGTGCAGTCTTTGTGCTGATGTGCGAATCTCTTGAGTACTTTTTGTTTTCCTTACTTTGGCTCACGCAGTGAAAATGGAGTTGGAATGACACCTAGTGGCAAATCGTGGTGTGTCCTTGGCGGGACACAGCCCGCTGTTGCTGGGTGAGATGCTCTTACAAGGAGGAATAGCGGGGTTGGTGTGCTGGGGAGTGGTCTTGGACCTAGTCCTGGGTGTTCATCAGCTGCCCTCTGTGGCACCTGATCCTGAGGAACGGCGTTTCAGCCTGCACAGGGATGGGAATGAGTCCACGTGCTCCCACTGGAAGGGATGCAAGGCATGTGCAGTCAACTCCCCCAGGGTCACCAGGAGATGCTCACCAGCACCTGCCTTGGGTGAGCGAAGCAGGAAAAGCAAAGCCTGAAGATGCTGAGGCTGGAATCACTACAGAATCCTGGAGTGATTTGGGTTGAAAAGGACCTTAAAGCTCAGCTCGTTCTAATCCTCCTGCCAGGGGCAGGGTCACCTTCCACTAGACCAGTCTGCTCCAAACCCCTGGCCTTGAACACTTCCAGGGCTGGGGCACCCAAAGCTTCTCTGGGCAGTAAGTTTGGGACTTTTATCTTGAGACACGGTGGAGCAGCTCAGGGTGTTGCTTCGCAGAGCGTTCTGTTTCAGGGAAATGCAGTTCTAAGGAGTAAAGGGAATTAGGGTTGTTTGTCTTTTGGAACTTAGCAGTACTGTGTAAAACAATCCCATCCTTTTGTCCTGGGAGTTTGGCTGCTCTCTTTGGGGAGAGAATTACAGCTTCAAAGAATGTTGATTCCTTGATTTTTATTTTTTTTTTTAATATTTTTGAGGGTTACTGGAAAAGAATGTGAAAAGGTCTTCCAGAAATAGTGTTAGGGGCTCTACAGATTGACATCCAGATTGTTGAGTGCATAGTAGATTTTTCTATGCTTTTTGCTAAAACAGCAATTACTGGTCCATGTTTGATTTACTTCTCAGGCTTCTAAAAAACTAACATGTCAACCCAGTGGTTGAAACCCCCCCCCCTTCCTTCGATCCAGAAGAAGCCTGTGCTGTTTAACACTTGAGATTGTGAGAGCATCCAGATGCTCCTGCCAGCTCCTGGTCTGGGTTGTTCTTGGAAAAGTACAGCCCTGCGTGAGGAAAAGCTTTAGAGCCTTGTGAGGAGCTTAAGCCCAGACAAAAGGGCTCAGACCTGCTGGCTTCAGTAGCAATGTGGAAACCAGCTGCAGTGCAGGGCCCGTGTGACGTGTTTGTTTTGGATGTGATACACCCTCAGACTCTTTGGAATCTGGATATTTCCTTCTTTGAG